TATTAAAAAATCTTTATATCCCTAACATTTTTGTGTGGCAATAACTATACTCAATGTCATCATTTCCCATTGATGGGCATGTTCATAGAAGGACCAACAATGTATATTATGTTAACATTATATTCCATAGGGTTGGACTACTAGTGGCATGAAATGAAGGTTAGAGACAAAACTGTCCCATGTTAGAAAACCGAAGGGTACCAAAAAGAAATTCATCCAAACAAAGATAAAATCTGAACGCACTGAGAAACTAAGACGGCGTCGAATTTCCGACGAAGCACTACAGTTTACATCCCTCAATCGCCGATACAGCGACGCCAAGTAGTCCTTCGCAAGTCAAAGCAACACAACGAAGACTGAACCGCAAGCAGCGACACATCGGCATAGCTCACTCCGTCTCTTCCTCTCTCCGGCGTCCGGCACCGAGAATCGTACTAGCATGGAGGACAGTGACGGTAGTTTACCGAAGCCAGTGGCAGTGATAGCCTGCATCGCCATGGCACTCTTTTATGTCGCAACCCTCTATGCTCCAACTGTAGTCCTCCGCCTCCCGCCTCCGTCGTCCTCCAAGGTTTTCATGATTCGAAGGTTCATATGCGTAGCCATATCCTCCATCGTATCTGTTGTCTCTTGTGTTTTCATCCTTCCGGTGGGCCTATACTCCTCTTCCTTGCTTCATTTCTCATGCTTGGTTTATTTAGTTTTGGATGTTGATACCGAAGATATTCTAAGTGAAGTAGATTATTATTTATTGGATTCTGAGATGCAAATTATGTTAATATGAGGAGTTTTGTGTTTTATTGAAAGTTTAATCACTAGAATCGGGGGGAGGTTTTTTTGTTTTCTTGAGCATCACCTAGATGTTATTAACGAAATTTTTTTGTGAATTAAAGGGTACCGAATCATGTTTGATCTAAGATTCTTGTAGTTCTGGAGCTTCTTGTACAGTCTGCACTATTTGGAAATCAAAAAGGATGTGCAGATTTTCTTCATTGTTGATGTCAATTCCAGACCCTCGAATGTAGCTCTAGTTTATATTGCTCTGCTTGGATTCCCTTCACTTGTGTTTATGTGAACATTTGATATTTATTTCCATCCAAAATCTAGTATTTTGTTTCATTTCCTTTTCGTTCCACTGATTAGAAGCTGACTGTTGTTTTATTTTTCATTTTGCTAGGCAAGAAGCAGGGAGGACTTCTCTTTTTTGGGTATTTATGGCATTCGAACCGACCATATTGTAAGTATTGCAATTTTTATTTCCTAAATTATGTCCTGCTGGGTAGGAGGCAATATTTTGCACATTGTAATTATCCCTTCATAGTTTTTCATGTTCTGCAGATTGGGAAAGAGTGACTCATTTTAACATGCCTTGCATTTCTACAGTGGCAAGCAGTGGTTTTTCCTCTTCTTCTAACGTCTCTTATGTACACTGGATCTTTGGTACTGAAATCTCTTTCAGTGGTTGATAAATGGAAGGAGCGTAGGAATCAAGGTCAAGGACCTTTGTTTGATAGTATCAAAACCATCCTGCAAGAGGTTCCAAGCTGGATTTTGCCATCTGCTTCCAATATTTTGTTTTGGCGTAATTTGGTAGTGGTTAGTACATTTACCAAGCTTTTTCTTTATTTTTAGGCAAATGCAAACAATTCTAAAATTTTTGTAGATTAATACATCTATACTTGATGAGGTTGCGGTTATCTGTATGTCTTTATCCTACATAATATGAAAAGAGAGTGAGTGATGCTATATAATATGGGGTTCCCTGATACAAATTATCTCATAATATATGAATTAAGCGGACAACATTTAAATGTTGGAATCATTTTTGCACTGCTTAATTGCTTTTGGTTTTAGTGGAAACTGGAAAGCATAGTGGAATTCTTGTTGTTTGCCTAGTTTCTCAAGGAAGTCTCTTAAATCAAAAGGAAAAGGGAAAATTAGGTTATTTCTGCTAGATGTTGCCTTTCTTATTTTTTGAGATAGTATAATGATGCAGGATTATTAGGTTATAAGTTTACCTCATTATTGAATGTCCTATGATCAGCCTTTTTTATCTATTAAAAAAAGTTAATAAATTCACAGGAATCCAAGTAATTTCATATTTTTTTGGTGCTTGATGGAACTATAAATGAACAGGCACCGTTGACAGAGGAGTTGGTGTTTAGGGCGTGTATGATACCGTTACTTCTATGTGGAGGATTCAAAGTGTATGCTGTCATTCTTCTCTGCCCTGTATTCTTCAGTTTGGGTAAGTTAATACTTTCTAAAGCACACTTATTTTGTAGTTTAATGTAAAGAGATATTAGCATTTCTCTCCCATGGATAGGTTATCCATTTATGGTTGGTTACCATTGATCTAATGCAAGAAGTATACAGTGTTCTAGAGTTATGTGCTTTCTATACTAATTGTACTTCTTTTTAGGTTTTAGCTTGACAAATATCTTATTTGTAAATCTAGCTGCAGTTAGCAATCTATTTCAGCCTAAAGTGAAAATATATAATCTTGCCATCAATCTTTTCAGAAAGATTTGTGATTTTGTATTTCAAGGGATTTTATGATATAAAAGTGTCAAAATTCCTTATTGAAACTGCATGAAAGACATTGGATTTGCAAAACAGTTTATGAATATACTGTTGTAGTTTTAATTATTCCAAAGTACTTGAATTATTAGTTTTAGCCATTTATTTTCAGTAAAAGGTTAAATTTCTGTTCTTGTTTCTTTCAATTATTTTTTTCTGTAGATCTTTTATTTTTGAGTTCAATTATTACCATGTACATATCATTTCTATTATTTGGGTACATGGATGACCGTGCGTGCAGATTGTGCCTTAGGCTTATGAAGCAACTTTCAACATTCTTATTTGCCAAATTGCTTTTTAAGTGAACTGGGCTTTAAATTGGTCTTTAATCTGCTTGCCAATCTTTTACAGCACATTTGAACCACATGATGGAGATCTACAATCGCCATCGCTATAGCTTGCTCAAAGCTTCCATGGTTATAGGTAGATACATGTTATACTGTTTGAATTAATAGATGAAATTCTTGTTATTTAAATTTATGGACATGTCTATTTGTCAGGTCGCCAGCTTGGTTACACTGTGATTTTCGGTTCATATGCTTCATTTCTTTTCATTCGAACAGGTGATTGATTACTCGTTAATAATTCTACTACCTTTAACTTCTTGTCCTCTTCCTTTCCATTTAGCCTTTTGCAAATAGACAAGTTATCTACAATTACATAAAAGATTGTGTTTAGTAAATGTATATGTCATGTTTTAACCAATAACTAGTACATTTTTGTTATTGTCATAATAGAAGTGGCAGAAATTATTGGTCAGTTTGTTCAGTTGGTAAGATTTGGATTTTTCATGATTTGATAACGTGAAACAGTGAAAGGAATATGAAAAAAAATAGAATATTCAAAATAATTCTGGCAGAACATTCATGCCCTAAGTTGTCAGACATGGACTAAAATCCTAGCTATTTTACAGATAATCCATTTTAATCCCATTTAATTTGATAAACCTTGCATCTTTGTTGCATCCTTCTGATATTTGCTTTATTTGGGCATGGGTAACATGGTTGTTGTCTCTTTATGATGTATGTTTCCTATATTCCTTGTTGGCAGGACACCTTGTTTCTCCTTTAGTCGCTCATATGTTCTGCAATTATATGGGATTGCCTGTCATATTTGTGCGGAGGAAAGGTATGTGATTAGGCAGGCTAATGAATAGTTGAATACAATGAATCCACACTCATATTCATTACTTAGTGAGTTACAACACATCTAGTCAAGTGAAAAATCTCAGAGTAAACATGTCATCACTATTATCCATGATCTGAATATTTTGGACGCTATAGTTCTCTCTCTGTCTATCTAAACTTGGAGAATCTTCAGATTACATTCACGCATATTCGTTATCTTCTCTCTCTTGGAAAATTTCCCATGTCAAACCACACCTTCTATCTTCATTGTTGTTTCAGGGTTGGTGACTTTGGCCTTTGTAGCCGGAACAGTGACCTTCCTAGGGCTTCTTTTTCCGATAACGCAGCCCAATATGTACAATGAAAGAACAAATAACTGCAGATGTTGGCAAGGGTCTTGTTCATGGGATTAAAGCTTTGACATCGTTTGGGTGGAAGATGTTTGTTGTTAAATTAACTAGGCATACTAGCATAACAATCTGAAAATTGGAGAGGAATGAATCATGCCATGTATTACTTTTTATGCCATTTACTCTTGCCTCGGAACATTTTGTTTTGGACTCCAGATGATGTCAATGCTAGTATCGGTCATTGGTATCCCAGGGATCCCTGGGAATCCACTATTTGTATTTGATTCTAAAGGATGTTATCCCATACCTAAATTTCTCCCTTTTTTGTATTCTTTCTTCCATGTATTTTTGCCTGGCCTTATTTAATTTTACCTCAGCGTACATCTCCCTGGCCCAATTTTTTTTTTTTTCTTCTTTTGATTTAGAAGTCATGTATTTTTAAGTTAGTTTGTGCACACTTTAAAGAAATCCTTCCTCAATGGAATCATAAGTAGGCCATCTAGACCCAATTTTCCTTAATTAAAAACATGGGACTTTCTCCCATTTTGCACTATTTCGAAGCTGGTTTACTGTCCATTTTTATACAGGTTTTTCCTTGGACGTAAGATTGTTGAATTGTTGTCACTTCAAAAGTAATTAATTTGTATTATTTTCTCTCCGTTCTAACCAACAATGTCGTTGTAGTATAGTGGTGAGTATTCCCGCCTGTCACGCGGGCGACCCGGGTTCGATCCCCGGCAACGGCGAAGTTGCGTTTCTTTTTGCGTTTTACATTCCGAGAAAGTTCCCTGCAGATTTCGTGCCTTTTTTTACGGGGGCCAACCTCCGTTATCCATTTATTTGCTATCTCCCTTTTCTGTGCTAACTGAATTTGTATTAGTGGTCTTAGTTCACCGGAGATCACTGCCTTCTTTAATTTTAATGATGATTAATTGTATCATCTTGTGTCTGTTTATCAAGTTTAATCAGTTTCTTTGAAAGAATTTTATTAATGAAGATTCAACTGATACATTTAAAAATTAACGGCTAATAATTTATATAAAATTTGTATTTACGATTTTAACTCATTCAATTGTTAAATTAAAAAATTAATTGTTAATGATTTACGTAAAACTTACACGAATATAAAATCCTTTTATATAATGTGCTTCGTATGAATTCCTACATGGTTTTATGATTGATTCAAGTAAATGTACGTTAACAATATAAAATTGACAAGCCTTTATACTAAATTTCATTACATCATGCTTAATACTAATCATAAAATTAATCTAGATTATCTAGATACGTCCACGATTTGTGTGGTTTTATCAATCTGTGCTAACCCTGAAAACTTATTCTTGTAGATTCAAGAAATGGTATCATCATGATAAGTTGTTTAGGTCCACAGGAGATGTAGAGAATTAAATGTTCGAGTTTTTCGGTGAGTTGGATGTAAGATGCAAAAAGATCCAAGAGCCACATCCGTACGCCTTCTGAGGATGAGCATAGCATTTGGTGTGAATCTAAGTCTCAGCTTCCAAGCACAGGTGCCATTTTGGTCCCCCTCCCTTCTAGTGTGTCCTGCCAGGGCCGTTAAAAATTTTGGGAATAGAAGCTTTGATCTGTGGGGGTAATTGTTGTGACCTATAATGATGAAATATCAATCTCATTCACATAGGTTCAGAAGGGAAAGGTTATTTTTCTATATATGCTTCATCT